ACCAGGCTGAGCATCAGAAACTGTATGAAATGTTTTTTTTCACTGAGGCCAGTGAACACAGACCGCCCCCTGACTCCACAGGGGCACGGGTTCCAGATGACCTTCTCCAGGCCTCAGGGCCACGGCCAGTCCTGAAGTGGCTCCAGCCCCATTCTAAAGTTCTGCAGTGATGCTGCATATGCTCCAGGGGCCCCAGGGCCCCAGGCCTTAATTACTAGCTCATCAGGCTCCCCAACATCACCCTGAAATGGGAAGCTAAAGACAGTTTTTCAGAAGATGTGAATCCAAGCACGGCGTATTCAACTATTGTGTTCTATACTTCACACACCTCTTGGCCTCAGGGAAATAAAGGCTGAAGTAAAAAATAATTTTTAATTTCTCAGTTTAGCAAGTATACAAGGCAGAGATCACACCAAAGTCAGAAACCTAAAACCTATGTTTTTGCGAGTATGCTTGTATGTGGGTGCCAGTGTGTATCTGTTTAACCAAAGGGTTTTTTTTTTTTTTTAGATAGCTCGTTTTTTCTTTTAAACTAGCTCTTTGATGTTATATAATCCAAAAGCTAAGGATGAATTTGGCTTTCTTGCAAGACTGCACAGCTTGGGAATCATGTCTAACCTGAAAGAATGTCTTTTATGGAGCCCATTTCTGATTATCCTAAAAGTTGAGACTAGGTTAATGCTCATTTGTTTCAACCTGATTCCACCAGAGTGGATACATTTATAAAGCGCTGAAGCAGAAACGTAGGGAGAGATGGGAACACAGCTGGGTGTATGAGGAACTCTTAACAGGCTAGTTTCTATGTTGGGCTGCATGAGGCACCTGTAATGGTATTTCCCACCAAAATATGAGAGCATTAGATGAAACATACATCTTTTAAGAATCAGAAATACAAGTTTCGAGAGAGCTTTTTTTGTTCACTGAGGAGAGCCTTTCCTTTTTAAGTGGGGGTATATTCCTTACTGTGACTAGTTCAGAGGAATGAGAGTTCCCTAGCCTTTGTGCTACATGCATGGCCATCTGAGCTCAAAGATCTAACTGAACAGGACTTTTCTTTTAGGACACCAAGACAGTGCTAAGTTTCATTGTGTACATAAGAGAAACTGTCTCAAAAACTCTCTTGGTGTTGGAGTCACGGTCTCTTCTCCTCCTGGGCATTCGGTTCCATTAGCTCTACCTCACTGACTGGGAGATGGAGAGGGATTTAGCTAATACTCAGTAACTTCCCTGCGGAACTGAAACCAGTCAAGGGAGATTTCACTCCCCATTGTTGGCAGGATCAGCTCTAATCAAACATCTTATCTGTTGTTGGCTTCTCAGGTGAAGCCAGCACTTGTGTGGCTGTAGTCTGTCAAACAAGGAGCCATATGCTCACACATGAGTGGAGTATCAAACCCCCAAACTACAGGCAATGCTTCTGAGGCATCTGCGCTGGTGGAAGAGTAGGAGGCAGGAGATGACCTATATAAGAGCTGAAAAATAGCCATACTGTCTTTATGTCATTTTCAAGACCATACAGGTGCTTTAATAGTTCTGCAGAACCACTCACAGAATGAGGACTACACATCAGTAAATATAAAAGAGACCTGAGTCTCTCTGACAACACTGGGAGGCAGTGCAGACCACGGAAGAGCAAAGCGCCAGGAAGTAGGGCCACAGACGGGTATCTCAGAGGCCTTAGGACCCAGCGCTTTCACTGCAGTGAGGAACTGAGGAACCGGAGGTCTGCAGCTTTAAAGGACCTACCCCAGGCCATTCACGGTTGGGGAAGGGGGCCTGAGAACCTGGGTGGCCTCATTCCCAGCCTAAGTGCTTTCCACAGCGTGATGCTTGGTTCCCCATGTCTTTCATTTCTCTGCCACTGCTATGTTCCAGAACCAGACACAGAATACCCTCCATTTTTCAGGGATAACTGGTCATTACCAATGACCAGTTCACGTTCTCAGAAGAGCCTTTCCTGACCATCCCATCTAAAGCAGACCCCAAAGTCGGGCCCTGTTTTATTTTTATTATAGCATTCGTATGTTCCTGTTTATGTAATAACTGCCCTCAGCCACATAAGCACTACAAGAACAGGGACTTTCTTTGCCTCATTCAACACCGTATTTCCAGGTCTTACAATGCTATCTGGCATCTGTTAGGTGCTCAGTAAGTGCTAAACAAAGACTAAAGTCAACTACTGTATGAACAGAAGTTTCTGAAATCCCAAAACAAAGGGGAGAGGAAACTGGCAGGAATAGTATCATTCCTAAATCACTGAAATTTTTATGAATGTGAATCGGAGCTCCTCTCTGCAGTTCTTATCAAATGACCGCCAGTGCTGCTCTCTGAAAGGAGGCCAATGACTTCAAAGGCTGCAGGACCAGCCCAGCAATGATAGCAGCAGAAAAGCCACAGACTCTGATAAAGTGAAGGAAACCAATCAATCAACTGCAGCAGCTGTTGAGAAGGGGCTGGGGTGGGTGCAGGAGAAGGCACTTTGTTTTTCTAGGATAGGGCAGAAGGAACACCTTAACTTTTTTTTTTTTTTAAGATTTTATTTATCTATTCCTAAGAGACACAGAGAGAGGCAGAGACACAAGCAGAGGGAAAAGCAGGGCTCCCTGTGGGGTGCCTGATGCAGGACTTGATCACAGGACCCCGGGATCACCACCTGAGCCAAAGGCTCAACCACTGAGCTACCCAGGTGTCCTGGACCACCTTAACTTTTAGAAAAAATACGTAAGTGTCAAGAAAGCATAGTGACAGCTCTGACATTAAAAAAAGATGTTTGGGATACATTCTAGGACAAAAACATTCTCTGCCTAATCTTCTAGTCTAGAATATTATATCATGCTGATCATTAAGGACACAAACCAAACAGCAAACTCTGAAGTATAGAAACAGATTTTTGTATGGTCTTCAACAGAAATAGTGTTAAAGATTTTGGGGCAAACAAGATGGAGCAAATCAGCAAATGCCGGTCCTCAGCACACTGCACTTGTGAGGGTTTTTCATTTAGAAGCAGAGTGTGGAACAGCTGCTGTCCATACCTAGGTATTCAGTAATTAAAAGGACAACATTCTTTCAAAAAAGAATGCAAACATCAAGTACAAAAGCATGAGTATGTGCTTGCTACTAGAGTTACTTCTACTATGCTTCAGGGCCTGTGATCGTCTTCTCCATGCTCCTAATGACCAAGCCACGAGGCCAGCTGAAAAGAGGTCTGCCAGTAATAGCCATTATATTGAATTAAACACGGACATCATCTGTGATACTGTTTTTCAGGTATTGATCGGTCATCTATGTCAAGGGGGCATCCACTGTTCAGTCAGAGAAAAGGCTGCCACTCAGTCTGGAAGAATTTTGAGGTCATAAAATTATGGCAATGGCATTTTGAAGAGCCTGGGCAATCTGAATAAGGGTCAAGAAAGCTTCACAGAGAACAGAACTAAGTTAGGTCTCAGTGAGGAGTGGGGGGAAGGAGGAAGGCATATATGATACACGAACAACCATGGGTGGTGCGTGTCATTCCTGTTTCACAGTTAAGGAAAAGTCAAGAGGGAAAAGCTCAAATAGACTGCTCAGGCAAACATCTGATGGAAAATTCCTACCTATCTGGTACCAAAATTGTCGACAGGCTTCTTCGGGAAAGTCCACTGAAATTTCAGCACCAAAATGAAACTGTAAAAGATTAAGTGAGGGTCATCTGGTTCTAGTCAAGAACTAAATAATCTGTAGGCTACTGCTCTCTCCTGAGAAACACTGCAGATCTATCCCTTCCTTCCTCTGCAGCGGAAATGGGCTTTGCAAGCACAGGGACAGCATGTGCCTTGGCTATGGTGTGTATTAGGGAACCACTAGTCATCTTGTTTGGACTGAGCACAGGACTCAAAAGGGCTAGGATAGAGGTGAGCAAGAGAGACGGAAGGGAGAACCCAGGAGTGGGTACGGATAGACACAATAAGTGGTTTACACTTTATTTTCCAGACAACAAAAAGCACTGACTATTTGTACGTGGGGAAGTGGCACAATCACTTTGTGTTTTAGCAAATCCCTCTGGGGGCAACATGGAGAATCAATTGGCAGGAAAGAAGCCTGGAGGTGGGAAAATTATCCAAAGGCTATTCCAATAATCCAGACAGAAAGTTTGCACCCCTGAGCAGGGGCTGTGGCCGTGATGAGTGGAAGAGGAAAGACTCCATCAACACAGGCCCGAAGGACAGACCTGGTGGGACCTGGATGTAGGCTGCTGGAGAGGCAGCAGAGTCAACAGTAGCTCCTTTGTCACTGGGAAATATGTCAATGCACTGTGAATTCAAAGCTGAGCAAAACTAAGTTGATTTATAAAGAGAGGTTTCCCACCCAACTGGTCAAAAATATGGTCACTACAGTAAACAACAACTACACATTGCCTATAAATACTTGACAGGGATCTAGTAATGGTTACCAAGTCAGAAAAGTGCCTGATAGCAGAATACAGTCAATCAAGTCCCCATGCTACATTTTTAAATAATAGAAAAAAATACATAAAGCTGCTCTTCCTCACTAGAACTCTATTACTTTTAAGTATCTCTGTATCATCTCATCTGAGAAGTTTTGGAGCAAAAACTTCCAAATCCTGGGCTGCAATGGTCTGGGCACCTTATGTGTAGCCCTGGGCTTGCAGAGTTAAGAGGGCATTTTGCTTGCTTGCCAGTTTTGTCGTTTGTTTCTTCAGCAGGCTGATTTGCCACTGGTCAGTAAGGAATGGTTGAGAAGAGTTAGGGGAAAGGGAATCAAGAAAAATTAAAGGGGCAAAAGAGGAAGAAAAGAAGAGAGAAATGCATACTCATACTATATTGCAAAAACATAGCCGGTATAAAAACCATCTGATTTTCCTAAAGCACTAATTTGATTTTGTTGGAGTTTCCTCTTTAAAAGGTCAGTGTTGGATGCATCAGCATGAGCAAGAAGGTTCACAAGCAAGTGGCCTCTGTTTATAACTAGTGTCAGCAGTAGGACCAGAGAGTCGTTCTTACCATGTTTCAGATGTAGGCAGCTGTCATTCTTGGACCTGTACCTGCAGAAAATTGTGTCTTTAACAAATTTTTATTGAAGAGGTTTTTGTACATTTGTAGTAGTACAAATACGTAGTAGCTACAACATCATGTGGACTTGTTTGCTTTACTTTTTATGGTTCTTATACCAGCCATTTTTATTTGTGCAGTACAAGTAGTGGCCTTACATTTAATGAAAGAAAAAGGGGAAATAAATAGGACCTCACTGGTTGATGCCTTGAATTAATATCCAGGAAAGATAAATCCTATCGTCATGTTTTCTATTTTCAGAATACCCAAGCCACAGAAAAGATACTCTAGGACACATAAGGTAGTATATTAAAAAATCAGAATAAAAATAGTTATTGTGAAGAGTTGTACAAATAGAAACATAGCAGAAGTATTAAAGAGGATATAGACGATGAAAGCAAAAGCCACCAGTTAACAACCAGGATTTGGGAAAGGAGCATTTATAGACATACCTTCACATAGTCACATTTAAAAGAAAGGTCTTTAAAACATTTTTAAAGAATTTCAGGAAGGAAAGCAGAGTTTAAAAAAAACCACAGGTTACAGCTGCAGAATAAAGCAGTGTCTAGAAGATGCAGACTACCTTAAAAGGTGTTTGTCATAGGCAGGAGAATTGACTGGAAAGTTACATGGAGCCTACCTGATGTTGATTCCTGGAGTTTCTCTCTCTTCCTCTTCTTTTTCTTACCCTGGAAGAAGATGGGTATATGGTCATGTTACAGACTGGACTATGAACACATGGATGATATGATACTAAAGTACAAAAGGTAGGCAGTCAACAAAGAGACAGAGATGCTCCCACTCTTTCTCTCTCTCTTTGCCATCTATACCTAGCAACAGCGAGGGAAAAGTTCTTACCTCTTTGTGACCTTTGTCTCTACGGCGTCATAATTTAATATCTGTATTGACAGTGGAGGTGGTTTTCCATATACATACAAGGGTAATGATGTCCCAGGGCTGTGGCCACAGACTCCCACTCAAGGAAAGCCCACTTACAGAGACAGTCTATTATTAACTACCACACTTAGAACCCACTTCTGGTAGTGTTCATGATAAATCCTTACTGTGAATTCCACCATGTAATTAAAAATTCACGACATGAGCTAAAGAACCTTAGCCCCTATGGCACAGGCATGATGGCAATCAAGGAGAGTGGCAGAAAGGTAATACTGAACCTGAGAAAATGAAAGGTAATTTCAAAGACATTTCTGGCAAATTCGGACCTTGTTTCCTAAAGCAGACACAATAATGCAAATATACCTCAAAATCACCTTTGGCACAGATTTACAATTTTAAGTCTCATTTATAGTGGTCTTATTTTCTATCTTCATAATTTCCTCTAAAAAATAGTTGAAATACAGCATAGATACAGCACATATTTGATTTACATGAATAGTAAATAGCTGACCTGGATTAGAACGGTATTTTCAAATAACTAGAACAGAACACATATCACATCGAATAGCTCTATTTTGTCTACTGTAATAGTCACATTAACAAAGAACAAAACATAAAACTGTAAGATTACATTGAACATACTGCGTGAATATATAAAAGTCTATATTTTTATGCACTCCAGGGTAGTTTTTCTTCATGTCACATGACCTGACCATTGAAGCTTTAAAGCTTTGGAAGGTTGACTCAAACTATCTTCCCAAACAGCAGATATTCGTGACCCTGGGAAACAGCATTTCAAAAATAATGGAGTCATCTTTAACACTATTATTAAAAGCACTCTGAGAGGAGGGGACCACACAGAGAGAGAGCATGCTTCTCATGGGCTGCCCCTACCTTCCAAAGCTTCCTTTCAAATGGCATAACTGTGGTTTTCAGAAGACGCTCTGAGGTTGTTTCATGTGTCAGTAACTTCTCACTTTCTCCTCCTTGTTCCCATTTGCCTGTTCAACACTCATCTCAAGTGCCAGCTCTTCCAGGAACTTTCTCAGCACCACTCAAAGCCCATCCCCTCCGGTCTGGTCCGTCCACACCCTTCCCTCAGGCAGACCTCACCACTAGAACCTAACCCCTCCCAGGTGCTGTAACATGCTGTGTCCCTGAGTCCCTCACCACATGGCCCTTGGCTCCTAAGAGCACCCCGAGCGTCTCAGCACATCTATGCCATTTTGTGCATGCCCAGTATATGTGACTGGCCTGAGGTGTTGGACTGCTAGAGCCTTTGTGAAATAACCTGTGTTATATTCTAGGTATGAACCAGTGTTTCAAGAGAACCAACATTTTATGATAGACAAAGATGACCTGAGTAGTTTGGATGTACTGATGTCAACATACACACAAAAAAAATCATCTGTGTGTGGTAATATATAAATATTTTTCATTAAAATTATGTATAATACTGAGGTTATTAAGCATTAAATTTAAAATGCTCTAACATTACAAATATCTAGCTGATTTAACCTAAGAAAATATGTGCACTGCTGATTTATGAAACCTTCAGTTATAAAAAATAAAAATTAGAAGAACTGAAGTTATAAAATCTATGATGCCACAGAATAGAGCATTTTAATATTCAATAACTGAGATATATTTAATATAATCTCAATAAGGATAAGGATGACAATCTGACACTTAACTGCTAAGATACAAGACATAAGGCATGTATCTTGTTTAGATTCCATTCCTATGCTGTTATTTTCAGAATAATCTTTTTAGCTAAAGTGCTATCACTTGATTGGCTTCTGTTTGCCTTAGTCATTAATAGGCTTATATTTATTGTTATAAGAATTGTATGTCACAAAGCTGGGTTTTCCCTTCATTCCAGGGGATCCCACAAGCAAGTTATGCAAAACAATTTCTTTTAAAAATTGTGCAGAAGAATTTAAAGGTAAATTTACATTTTACTGGCTTTCTTTAAAACTACTTTCTTCTCATCTCCCCACATGAAGAAAAGGAGAGAGGGATAGAATATGTGTTTATCTCTTTTTAGTTTTATCCTTTACCTAAGATTCAGAAACAGAAACTTCACTCAAAGACATTCAACCAGCAATGCTAAATCTATACAAATTTCACAGCACAGCTCTTCCCTGGGTCAAATCTATCCAGAAGGATGCTAATTATTGCCTGGAGAAAAGCAGCACAGCTCAGGGGAGAAAACTCTTGAATTAAAGCAGTCTACTAAAGAAGGCACTGGAAAGACTGTGCTAGTCTGCTATAGAGAAGGCAAACTGCATAGATTTTGAAGGTCAGGGAGAACCAGGTATAACTTGCAGTTTAGCCACTACATGGCCTTGGACTAATTACTTAACCTGACGACCTCTCCATTTCCCCCATATTGCATTAAAATGCAATAATGCTCTTCATGACCCTCAATTATTATAGGGATTAGAAAAATATCACAGAAAACATTTAAGACAGTTCTTGATGACAGGCATATGGTAGTCATTAAAACAACCAAACAAGAGCTCAGGAGATTCCAGTGAGCTGCCGCTCCTAAGTAACAAACACCATGATTCTTCCTTCCTATGTCATGGTTGTAGCCAATGTTTAAGCTTCAAATCCTGACCAGTAGTGACTTTTCAGAAGCATGTTACAGGAAACAAATATGTTCCATTATATGGGATGTCTGACCTCAGACAGGGGGCCCCACAGAACCACCTACAGCAATGGTCACACATTAAATTATATGTTGATTAATGGCTTCAACGTCACCCTTTTTAAAGGGACAGTTCCACCTAATATTATTAGTTGGCTTTTCTAATGTCGGGCTCACATGGAACGTGAATGATCTTCAAAATTTTTAAATTAGGAGCTTAAATAAACAAAAGTGTTCCCTTCCATAAAATCTAAAACTGAAATATATAATTTATAATGCACTTTCTCAGTAACAGTCTTTGCTGTATCAAGACCACGTTAGTAAAATCTTCAAATTCCAAAGTAATAAAATAACAGGCCCTATAAATGGGGTATTTCTGGCCAATTAGTACAATTTAAAAAATAAATATCTACTCCATCTAAATAAAATACATAATAGACATCAAGGTACACTAATATGAAACAATTTTTTTAAATCCAGCTTTAATTAGTCTGTGGCAAAACAGTCAATTTGAATACATTCTTTTTAAGAATTAGATAATATCCTTTTGGAAAGAAATAGGACGGTAAGTACCAAAGAGCTTATATCTTTTAATTCAACAATTCCACTACTGTGAATGTATCCTACAGAAGTAATAGCCCTAAATACAAAAAAAAAAAATTGTTATACACAGATCTCTTCATTGTAGGATTGTTTCCAATTGTTAAAAAAAAAGGTAATTTAAATATCTAAAAAAGAGGAAAAAATGGTTACATAATTGTGACATTCACTCAAAATACTATAATATAGCCATTAAAGTTGATATATAGGGGCAGCCCGGGTGGCTCAGTGGTTTAGCATCACCTTCAGCCCAGGGCCTGATCCTGGAGACCCAGGATTGAATCCCACGTCGGGCTCCCTGCATGGAGCCTGCTTCTCCCTCTGCCTGTGTCTCTGCCTCTCTCTCTCTCTCTCTCAATCTGTGTCTATCATGAATAAATCAGTAAAATCTTAAAAAAAAAGTTGATATATAGAAAAACTATCCCATAACAGAAAAATGCTTATTATATATAAAAGCAAGCATGACACAAAAGTATATGTATACACACACACACATACTTATATCCATGTTAAAAAACCAAACACAGAAAAAAATAACTGAAAGATAATAATTAGTTATTACTACTGTTGCCTTTACATGATGAGATTATGGGCTTATTTTTATTTTAAAGATTTATTTGTTTGAGAGCGAGCGAGTGAGCACAGGGGAAGGGCAGAGGGAGAGGAGAGGGAGAATCTCAAGCAGACTCCCTGCTGAGAGCGGAGCCCAGTGGGAGGCTCAATCCTACTACCTTGAGACCATGACCTGAGCTGAAATCAAGAGTTGTCCACTTAACCAACTGGGCCACTCAGGTGCCCCGATATTGTGGGCATTTAAAACAAAATCTTTTTTACCAACATTTTAATGGATTTTTTTGGATTACAGTTTTACCTAAAAAAGTCCATTATATAACTAGAGGAAAAAAAGTATGACAGCTCGAAGCTTTCTAAATGCAATATATCCTTGAAATCTTTATTATAAAATTCATTAACTTCCATTACATATACAGTAGTCCTCCCTTATCTGTAACTTTGCTTTCCACAGTTTCAGTAACCTCTGGTCAAGCGGGGTCTGGAAGCAGACAATCCTCCTTCTGACATGGTGTCAGCAGATCAGCAGCAGCCTAATGCAATATCACAATGCCTGCTCAGTCCCCTTACTTCATGTCCTCATGTTACCATCTCACATCATGACAAGGAGAGAGGTGAGTATGGTACAAGAAGAGATTTTGAGAGAGGCAGACTACTTTGACATAACTTTTAGAACAGTATATTGTTAACGATTGTTCTATTTTATTGTTGTTAATCACTTACTGTGTCTTTATAAACTTTATCATAGGTATGTATGAAAAGGAGAAAACAGCATATACAGGGTTCAGTACTTTTGGTGGTTTCAGGAATCCTCTGGGGGTACTGAAACATATCCCCAGTGAATAATGGAGGATGGAGGGAGCTACTGTACTCTAAAACACATTTCCATCACAAAAGTAACAGACAGAAAGAAAAAGTGACAGTACGGAGCTTTTGGTATGCAGAAGGAGCTTACGTAATTGTCTCTTGCAGACCAGCCTGGATAGAGCTGCATATGTAGCTGTCTTTCCTTCCGTGCTAATTCATAATATTTGGCCTGCTCTTCACGGGAGAGGGCATGCCACTAAAACAAAAAGAGGAAGGAAAACAAATCAAATGAAAGCAAGCAAAAGAGCAACAATATTATATATTTCATGTTTCAAAGATTAAAGAATGAAAATATTAAGCACTTAAATTCTGATTTATTTTTAAATGGTGGAAGAGCAAGGACTGCAGAAATCCACTTAGAGTCTGGCAGGGAGAGTGAAACTCAAACTTTGGTCTCTATCCTGTTCCTCCCACATCACATGAAGCATTCAAGGTGATTAAATATCCAAAGTAAAATATTCTGTTACCCACCCTTTCACTTTTCCCATATAAATTAGAAAGAACTTTCACTGGGGAGCCTCAACACCCAACTTAGGCCTTGTTCACAGTCTGTACCATATTCTGATATTTGAGACCAAGTACCATTTATTTATGCAAAATGTGATAATTTCCAGATGTCTTTTCCACACAGATGCATCCTCACCTCACATGGACACTCTCCCACCCACTCTGTCATACAGAAGGTCAGAAACCTGCATCCTGTGATCCTGTCTATAAAGCAAGACCTTAAATAAGTCTGTCTCAGCCCCTTTCACCCTATCCTCACACTTGCAAAACACTACTTGTCTAGAGGGAGCACACTGACAGCAATGTCCAATCGTATGTGCACTCTATGGCTACAGTTTTTAGCTTCCTTCTGACAGAAAGCAAGGAGTACTGTCTAGGTTTGTTTTGCCATCTAGAATCTGAGACTGTGGTATCTAATTTGGAGAATGTAATGGCTGACACCTGCGAACTTTCCATTTCCCTTATAATAGCTGACATAATTATGTGTCATATACAGCAAGATAGCTAATGTACGCAAGGCATCCATTTGGTAATTTAAGCAGCTTATATTTGGATATTGCTTTGCATATGTTCATACATGACTCGCTCTAGGTGCCCTAGCAGGCAGTTTTCAAGTATTTTCCCCATTTCTTCAATGCTAGGATCTGCCAGTGGAACCTTCCAGGAGAACTAGCTGGGCTCTGGGGAACCAACTAGCCAGAGGGATGGCATAGAGGCGCAGCCACGGGAGGGGCAGGTCTGACCCACACCATACGCACCCACGCTCTGGGTCAGCTCCCACCTGTCCACTCCTGCTGGCCCCAGCTCTAAAGTGCTAGGAGATTCTCTCTCATTCATGGCTGGTCTGCCCTGAATTTAATTTCCCTGTCCAGTTTTAAAAAATAAGGAAAAGAAAAGAAAGATGTGGCTGAACTGGGGAAAAGACAAAGGAGCGAGGAAGAGAGGCCATGAGAGAGAAAAAGTTCTCCCGGAGGAGGCTCCTGAGGTATGGCTAGGCAGCTTTCCTCAAGAAAAACAAACACCTGCTTGCTCCTGTGTTAAAAGACCTGGGACGATCTCAAGAAGAACACTAAAGCACCTTCTGCCACTCCCCACCCTCCCTCTCCAGCCTCCAGCGCAGGAGGTGCCCCAGAGCAGGGCATCAGATTCAGTTCCTCCAAAAGCCCCTGAGACGCCTGGGCCTCTATGTTGGATAGCGCAGACGGCTTATTTTTTGGTTGCTTTAGAAGAACAGAGCATCGAGTAGTTAAGAAGCATGACACACAGCAGGACTTGGGTACGAACCTGAGGGCAAATCAGGAAATAAGCCTTTCTTTTAAGAAATGATGGGGACGTGGGGGGAATGGACACTAGAGAGCTGACAGGGGGAAAAAAAAACCTGAAAAAAGTTACCTGAGACACAGTTCCTTATACACCAGCAAAGTAAACACAGTAGGTGAAAATAATCTTAAGAAGGAGGCAGGTCTGGGACAGTAGTTTGAGTTTAAACCAGGCTTCTGCCCACCACTGGCCTTCCTAAATCTGGAACAATGACCCAGTACCAGAGACCTACACAGGGTGGAAAACAAACTGGACACAGTGGAGAAGATCGGCCTTGATTATTTGTTTGGGGTTTTTTGGGGGGTGGGGGGACAGGGTTGGTGGTTTTTTTTTTTTTTAAGAAAACACTGATCATTAATATTTACACAGTTCTGGTGTTAAATGTGATTGGCAAGAGGCAAAATGTTACCAAAAAGGAACAAACTGGGAGACAAAAAGAAAAAAAAGTAAAATTACAACTTTTGTAAATTTTTATTCATTTGACTAATGAAATATATTGGCATAATTTTACGTAGTTTATGGCAGCTTTATAACTTGCTGAGAAAACCTGGATTAAATTTTATAAAACTTCTTTCAAAATACGTATGGGGGTTGGGTCTTTTACCCAAACAACCAGTTATTCAGTTAAAACAGAGCATTTAGGTTGACAAAATGATCCCAGTTAACTGAGCAAAATGCAAGGAGAGAAAAAGCAGGCCACAAAGTATTGACTTGAAGTCTCAATCGCTTTTAGTTCCCAAGTATTTCTAATGCACAAAATCTATCCACAAAAAGATCATTTACTAGAGTAAAACAGTAGATAGAACAATGGTATTAAAGCCTTGTAAATGAAAACAGTCCAGTACAAACTAGAAAGATGGCCTTTTTTAATAGGAATTTCTGAAACACAATGGGCTAAAAAAAACACTTTTGTATCTCTTGTTTACTGAAAAACTGAGTTAATTTTTTTTGAAAAAATCCGATTTCATTGTCAACATTTCCAAAGTTGTTGGAAAACATATTAAAAATTCTGACAAATTTGCAACAAATGGGACCTCCTTTAACAGCCTGGAAGGTCTGAAAAGGCTTCTTTTAAAGTAAGATTTGTGCTATTAATTCATATGACTGAATATTTCTTTTTAGAGATACAGTATAGATGAATAAAATAAAAAAGATAAAATGTTCCAGGGTGGATTTAAGGTCTACTTTTAAGAATTCTAATTATTCCAGTATAAAACTTCATGATTTTAAAAGCAGGAACTTTAAAGAACCAGCAAGGACTACTCTGCCAGAGGGAAGTTATGAAAGGAGAGAAAATCTGATCTTAATCAAAGATCTCAGAGACCTATAAATAGAAACAGGTGTCCAAATCAAAGACAGAGAGAGACCCCAAATGAGAACCATCCTTTAGGACACACGCTCTGATCTGGGGATCGTTAAGGAAGCTGAGAAAGTAGCAATTGTTGGAAATGTGCATTAAAAATAGGAAGCATACCTCTGTATCATATCCTAACTTACTCTCTTGAGCAAAAAATAATTACCACTGCAGAGCCAGGGGACTTTTAACTCAAAAAAGGAAAAGAGTCAAGAGTTCTATATAAATTAGAAAAGAACATCAACCCTTCTTTCCCTCTGGTTTCTTCTTTTAAAGGGTCAGGGGGAATGGTCATCAGCCTTTAAGCTTTTAAGGCAAAGTTCCTCAAAGATGATGGGAATCATTTATCTGCTATGTTCTGGCTTGGGAAATCATTGTAATTATTGTTATTAAGTGTTTAAGAATCCACAGGGAGGGAGGGTATTATACACAGGGCACCAAGAGAGCTATAATCTGCTACCAAATCCTACCCCTGAAACCCTTGTGTCCTGCGGATTGGAAATCACATTTTTATTCTCTCCAATAGGAATCGATAATGCAAGAAAGCTTACTTCTCTCCATCTGTTCATATGGTTTGGAAATCTCCTGCATATCTTCTATTATGTATGTTGAAGTTTATTAGGTTCGTATCAAACATGGTAAAAATTACCCACAATAGCTAAAACATGATCATTTAAGTTTTACAAAAGCTGTTAGACCTTCCTTGTCTAAATGTTCATTTACAAATCATGAATTTCTTGAGGTTGCAAAAACAAATACATAGGGTCATAATTTAAGTAACTATCACATACATGAAGAGCATCAACAAATTAAAATGAAGCATTTCTAAAATTATAATGTAGTATTAGAAAAACTCCAATCTTTCTCACCATTCTTCATATACCTAATGTTTTAAGACCATTTCAATCCTTATAAAAAGCACCTGGAAAGACTAACTAGCCTTTGGGCTGGTGGCTGGATAAAGAAATCTTATAGCATCTGCCCTAGCTGTAGCCTCGTGCCTGATATACAGTAGGTGATCAGAAGAGCATCATGGAGTGAGTAAAAGAAGGAGTGAAAAGAAAAGAGGCAATGCAGACACCATGCACATATTTTAAGACCCAGAGAACAGTTTTTCTAGAATAAAGGCTTCTCCAGCCCATATAAATTCTTCCAGTTTCTGAGTAGAACACATCTTCTATCTTGGAAGGAGTGGCCACCTGTGTTTGCCGGGGTTCTTCCAGAAACATGGCTGGTACTGCAAAGCCTTTCTATAGTTCCCTAGGTGGGCTAAGCGCTTTCTTGCTTCAGTCATGAGTGCACACACATGTCACTCCATTGGGGAGGGTCTACCTCTCTCCACTGATCATGTGGTTAATTTCTACTCATTCAGGTCTCAGCTTAAATACTGTTTTTTTTTTTCCTGGGACCTTCCCTAGCTCCCTGCTATTCTTTCTCATAGAATCTTACTCTTTACATTCACAGTATTTATCATAATTTTAATTATATATTGGATCATTACCTGTCTAGTGTTTGCATCCCATCACAAAATGTTAAGCTCCACGAAGACAAGGACCTATCTATTTTATTCAGCAATTATTATCTAATGCCTACGAGTACATGGCACATAAAAGACACCCAATAAATGCTAACAGGAAAAACAGTTAACATTTATATATAGGAGGTTTTCTGTGTGCTAGGTACAATCTAAGTTGTTTACAATGCATTCTATCATTTAATCCTCCTAAACGTTTTTATCCTATCTTTCTGTTACTTCCCAAAGTGGCTGGTGATTATACAGCCACATTCCATAACCACCTTTAATGAAACCGTTCCAAGGTTACCATGAACATTTACATCCCACCCCACTACTTACCCTTCTGCCTAGAATCTGGTTGATAGCTGCACTTTCTTTTAGGGTACACTCAGCTACGACATTCGCTCTCATTTCTTTCATGTATAACATAAAAGCATTCAGAGGCTTCTTAATGTGAGGTCTTTTTGGCTCCTGTTCCTTTCTCTGTTCATGCTGAGGCTTCCTAAAAGGTGGTTGGGATGGTGTTGGGGGAGGGGGGAGGGAAGGACAGGGGAAGGAGGACACGGGAGGAGAGAAGTAGAGCATCTATTCATGTCACCAGTCAAACTCAAGCCGAGGACAACACTCTAGAAGCTCGACAAGCACCCAGAGCAGAATCACATTAGAAGAACAGCTCATTGGGAGTAAGGATCCTTTAGTTTGAAAAAGTTTACCTTTAGCCATAGAAGTGTTTGACACAAAATGGGCCCTGAGGCTGACTGAGCTTCTTGTTTACCTCAGGAAAGGCTGAACACATAGTATTTATGGAGGTTATTCCTCTTCCAGAACTGAGGTTCTTAACTTTTTGGGTGCAGGGCCCCTTTGAGAAACTAATGAAACTCCAGACTCTCTCCCCTAAACCAATGCGTGTTGGCTTTGCCTGCCCTTGCAAGTGTTTTATGCACTATCATATGCACCCAGCCACCCCATCCTCCTGTCCAGGTCTACAGACCCTAGATTAAGGAATTCAGGAAAGTTAGTCCTGTTCTCACTGCCTGAGAAAACCTGGCCTCCTGGGCTTGGTTTGCCCCTTTCCTTTGAATTCTGTGCTTCTGAAGCCTGCAGCAGGGTTAAGTGTATGTCAGGAAGGAAATGCATGGAGCCCTCCTGTCTACTTCCCTCAGGTACCATCAGGTGCTCCCCAACAATCAGAACCAACTAAAACCTGGTAGTAAATTGCTTAAGATTATTCAATGCCCACACTGAAGATTACTCCATTTTGGTGAGGTTTGGTGATGTTCCCTTGATCTTTTGAGGTCTATGCTCCTTTCCAATCTTAAAATCAGTGCAGTGAGAATCGAGCTGTTTAAAGTCCTCAGGGGCAGAACTTTCAAGGCAGAGACACACTGATTTTCATAATAAAAGAGAGGGAGAAAATGTTCAACAGTAGCAAGAAGAAATTGTGTTTAAATCCTCAGTATCTTAAGGCATTCACAGGTGAAACCAGAGGTGTACTCACACGTGCATTAGATCACTGTCAGTGTGGGGATGCTCCTGTTTGACCTGAGGCGTTACAATAGCTGGATGAGGGATGCCAGTTGTATGGGGACCAGGAGGACCAGGAATCATATGATGGGAAAACCTGAAAGAAGGAAAGAAAAGAAAACATATGTACTAGTGGCTGTTGTAGCAAAAGAGGAAGAATTCTGAAATAATCCACTAACTTGCTATTGGCTGAGAATGAAAACACATCTTTATACACAAGAGTATTACCTATAAATTTGAGTGGGCCAATAATTAATTTCTCTCTGTATTCAAGTGGAAATATTTATATTTATTCCTTGTAGAACAGAGTTTATTTTCAAACTAATAGACATTTTTCCTAGGAAGGCTATAGGTCATCGGATTAAGAAATTTCTTGCAAAGCAGTTTTCAAAGAAACACTTCAGTAAGTGAAATTGCTGGAAGTATAACATTTTATTAGGATTTGGCTTTTTAAATGATTTATAAATGAAAGCTAAAGACGTCATATTAAATATCTCTGCCTACATCCTTAAGCAACCTGTCACATTAAGTCTTCTCATACTTGTTGGCTTCTTTATTGATATATGGAGAAAACAACTGAGAAAATAAGGGACAGCAGTTTGTTTTTAGTCCCCAATTTAATAAAGCTGCCACCAGCATCATCTAAAATAATCTACACAGAAAGAAAGTACTGTTCGAAAGGCCTAGTCTTATGGAAAACTGGTAATAAAATTAAGGGAAGGATACAGTTCTGCCCCAGGTAAAAAACTACACATCCTAAAGGCTTTTCTCCCAAGTACACTTGGTAGACCATAAAAAAGAATCTCTAGTATCCACCACCATACAACACAAAGGAGGGCTACTGCCATTTAAGAAAAATAACTTTCAATAAATGCTTTGGATACATTCGAATATGCTTTAGAAAATTTTGGTTTTCAAACAGTATTGCTTGTTTATTTATTTTTAAGTAGGCTCCACACCCAATGAGGGGCTTGATTTCATGACCCGGAGATCCCGAGGTACGTGCTCTACTGACCGGGCCAACCAGGTGCCCTGCTTTTCAAACTGTTTGAAAGTTAACATTTAGCTAGAACAATATTCTCAAGTCTTTTATCACAGCCAGCACAATTAATTTCTTCATCTGGGAAGGAAAGAAGGAACTCTGCCTGGATTAGAAACAAATTTTTAGAAATTAAAGAGGCATGGGAAAAATATAAATATTTGAGTAAATGATAGTGCTCTGTTGCATATACTGTTTGCAAAGATACATGATGCTGGTTACTTGCATGGGAGAACATCCTGTCACCAGACAGTTCTTACAATGTTACAAGGTGTAAGAATATATATTGGGGGAAGGATATTAATTTCATTCCCTCCCAACCAGCTAGATTTACAATTTGCTGAGCCAATAAAGGTTTTGTAAAAAGCTGAAATTCACCACAGAAACTACGGATTTCATACCTACATAATAAAAAAGTGAAGATTCACAATCAGTTACTAGCCCCAGTTTGACTTCCAGCACAATGATGCTAGTTCCCTCGAATAAGCCACATTGAACATACAGATGATGCACAACAAATGTGTGTGTACATCAAGCACAGGGCACAGACGCCATCCTTTCCAGAAGCAAAAGCATTACACAGAGCAGTGTGGCATGGCAGGTCTCACAGAGCTTCGCTTGAACTAGAACATGTCCACACAGGGCCTGATTCACACACTAGGACACACACCCCGCATGGCCTGCAGCCAATAAGCACCATCCTTTCTCTTCTGACAGCCTTGATTCAGGAAGGCTCTTGACTCTCTGGGCATTTTCAAACACTGTCACATTAAACTGATAACAACTTTCCTCAAAGAAAGCAAATTAGAAAACTCAGACCAAACCAGTCTTTATCCACCCCCTTAACCCACTCCCAGCATATTTTGACTCAAACAAACTCTTCTTAGAAATGTCTGTTTTCGGGGCATTTCACATCCCGCAGTCAGGTGGCAGTGAATTCTTTTGGATGCACAATTTCCAGGGTGTTGCCTGAGTCTACCTGAGGGGTGTGGCTGGTGCTGGTGGGGTGCAGCGTTTGGCTCCTACCCAGGAATCTCTAGGACACCTAGTGTGGGAGCCAGGCACACTGCACAGACAGACGCATGGCTGAGTTATGCACCCTCCTAGCCAACCAAGAGGCAAGCAGAGGCGCACAAAATGCAAGCGCAAGAAGAGCAACTTGTCCTGGGGTGCCCGGTTTCCACCTCTACCTACCTGGACATGGAAGTGTCGACTGACAGTGAGGATGGATAGGGTTGCCTGAATCCTCCCGTGATGGGATATACAGGCTGACCTTGCCTGAGGTCACAGAAGAAAGGAACCCATCAATGAAAAAACACGAGTTACCAACCAGCAATAAGAGTTTGATGAGGCTCAGAGAAGAGGGAGGTATCCAAAAAGAACTGCGTGGGGGGTAATTACAGACCACAGCATTTCTTCAGTTAATCAGCTGCTTCCCTTCTTACCCTCCACCCAATCAAAGCATCATTTACCTTGAAGAAAACCTCCCACCTTCAGCCTGAAAAGCAAACCAGTCCATGAATTACCTTTTACCCATTCCTTTCTCCCAACCCCACTAATGCTCTGAACAAAATAGGCATATAACACATGTTTAGTGAATGTAACAGAACCATGAGAATGGTGAAATACTCCTCTCAGAATCTTTGAAAACTTCAGGGGAAAAAAGAAAGAGGGGAATAAAATTTATATAAAAATGAACAAATATTTTAAAAACATTGTACTCCCCACCCCTTCATATATCCATGCTACAGTCAAGAAATAAGAGATAAATCTATTGGACTTATTCCCACTCTACTCTGAGAATTCCATATCTCTCTCTCTTTTTCCCCACATCTCACATTTCTCATTTATACAATCTTTATTTCCAGCTGCCACTCAGCACAGGATTATTGCCCCTAAGTAGTAAGTTCAGACAGAATAATTGATGTAGGTTTGAAAGTGTATGCATAATCAATTAAACAGTCGACTGGGAGATTTAGTGCTAAAGAGAGGAGAGGGAGAGAGAGAGACAGCTGGAATTTCCAAGACAGGATGACCCCTTCTTGCCAAAGAGGAGATAAGGTAAGGATGTCAAGGTAGGGAGACTGGGGCAGTGATAGGGGGTTTTGGGGATAGAGGGCCAGATAAAGAAAGGAGAGGGTTCACCTACTAAAGTTGAAGCAGTGTTTCCATGGAGTGAGCAGTGGGGGAGGGGAGGAGTGGAAAAGGAATGGGAGTGCAATGGGGGTAAGCTGTGTGTTAACAATAAGATGATAAAAATAGGCTACACCACGTAAAAGTCTTTCTTCCAAAAATATTATTTCTTTTCCTTTCCTTTCATAATTTAAAAAATTTTGAAAATAGCAGTAAGAATTTTTTAGAAAGAAACAAAATAGAGAGTGTTTGGATTCTGAAAAAAGGAAGCCCAAACATCAGTTTTTCACCTGTCTGAACTCAAACTGGTGCTTACTTTATTAACATTCAAAAGATCTTTTGTTAATCTTGAATTTCTATTTGTTATTTGCTTATTTTATAAACAAGGACTAATATTCAATGTGTCTAAGTTTGTTTCAAAAATAAGTTGTTCATAAAAAACTAGACAAGAATAACCACTCTGAACACTTTGTATAGGCATAGCAAATGCCCAAAGCCACAAATTGAACCCATAAAACTATAAGCTTCAAAGCAAATGCTACACATTTTCTACACATATTAGCAAAAGGATTCAATCCATTTCAAAGTCCGTATATTTTTTAAGCTTTCAAATTGAAATGAAATAAAGTTAGCACCTTGCTTGTTGATGTGAAATTTTCAACTCCACAAGTGTTATCATTCATAAAGCTAACTTCCATGAATGGAAAGAAGAACATATGCTCAAATGTCTGATTGAAGGTTATAGGAAGGATCTTACCAGCCAAGAGGTGGGGTAATCTGTCCAACACCACCTGGAGACAGGGGATAAAAGGTAGGGATCTCAGGAGCTGGAGGATGTCTAGACATGCCTGTTCAAAAGAACAATGGAGAAGTAGAGTTTTCAGATTCACGGGACATCTGGCTATAAGAATAAAATAAAAGCCATTAATACTTAAGGTCTAGCATGAAACAATGTTTACTGGATATATTTAACTGAAGTCAGTTTGTTAGCTCTTCTCAAGATTTCAAAATCTGAGAAAACAAGTCTTAAGATAGGACATCTTGAGAAACTCTTAAAAGAGTAAATACACTGCTAGTAAAACAGTGACCATAGTAAGATTTTTAAATTATGTAGTTTGCCCTCATTATTTCATTTTGGTTAAGAAAATGGTAGACAATTGTTTTTGTGTAGAATGGAAAAATAACAGCCTTCATAAGTAGATGACCATGGTGTTCAAAGATTAGGTAAATTGCCACTTTCATATTTTCATTGGCTCCCTTATGGACACAAAGATTTGGGAAATGTGATACCTCCGAGGATCAAAGATTAATTAGGAATCATCTTCAGCCCCATAATGGTCACACTTGATATGATTCATTTTGGTCTCTGCCACTTTAGCTCCAACTAAGCTCTTCATCAAGTTGAGTCCTCTGGGCTCCAAGGTCAAGCTGTCCTGGATTAGTTGTATTCCACAGAAAATGAAAATGCCACCAAATTGTTTCTTGAGCTCACACTCCCTGGGGTACACTGCCCTAAAACTGTAAAAACCACCTAAAGATTATACCTAATCCTAGTCCCACATGGCATCTCTTTGTTTATATTCTACCTTGGGTACAGAAAATGCAAAATATAAAAACATAGATTCAGTGTATTTGGGTGAAAGTGATTCTGATTAGAAAAAAACAAACCATAAAAGTTTCTCTTTATATAGCTAACCTGGCCTTTCCAGATTCAACACCCAGAAATGACCAGTATGTGGACTTAGGTGAACATATGAAAGATGCTTTTTAGTTATTTTGCTTTTTTACTGTTTAAAAATGAATTTCATTTGGGTCTTATATTTAAGGTCTTGAACCTATGGGAATGACTTAAGATGTGTTGCCTTCAAAGTTGGTGTTAATTTGACTCTGAGGTTAGGACAAACTATTACTCAACTCTTATAAGAAACAGGTAAGAGGAAGGTTTTTAATCCCTCACAGAGAGCTTACATGAGATTATCTCATATTTTGCTGTTTTTAAAAGATTCTGTCAAATTCCCACCCCCTTGCCTTTTTGGCTAGAAATACCACTATTTTTGGGTTCACAGTGGATCCCAAATTTCATATTCGGGATTTTTTTCTTGGGTCTGGGGAGGTTTGGGTAGTAGGAGTAAATCTAAGAGAGCCTACGGTGATGATTCTTGACCTATCAGAATCACTGGGGAGTTTCTCCAACTTGCTGCCCTCCTACCTTTCAGATTCAGAAACCTTCCCAAACCTCAGGGTAAGCAGGGCGACTGTTCAGTTTAAAAAGAAAAACCAAACTAACTCAGAAGAGCTTTGGAAACTTCGTGGAAATGTGAGCTTGAAAAATCACGACTACAGGTCATAGACCAACAGAACTGTCTACTTTAATCCCTTAATTTTACAAACGGGAAACCAAGGTGTGGAATGACTGCTCAGGCATCCTGGTTGGGTATATACAAAATACGTATTTTCCTGGGCTTTTATCACTGGGACACAGACAGGTAACCTGCTTGCAATCACATATCTATGCAGACGAGGCTAAAATCTTGCTGTCCACTCTTGTCCATGTTCCAAGTAAGCCTAGAATCCCACAGCAGTGATTCTGTGTAGGAGCAGGAGCAGGAGCAATACAACTGAACACAATACAAACTAATGTGATTTGGTTTTACTGCTCAAGGGAGAAAGGAGGAAACTACCATTTATTTAGCATCTGCTACATGCTAGTTCATATGCTGGGTATTTAGTTTGATGGTTTCTATTAAATACATTTCTACTCACATTTCAAATATGCCTCTCTAATGTTTGTAGCTCAGAGAAATCCTTCTTTCTTGTTTGAATCTACTAAGTTTTATTTTTTTTGAATCTACTAAGTTTTAATTTGTACTTTTAATGTGGCACTTAAGATGTTCTTCATTTTATTTTATAGTTAGTTTGTGCAAATGATTTCCTGCATGAGGCCATATACCACTTGGAAAAAAAGAGACTATATTTTACCAATCTAGGTATCAAACTCTGGTTGTCTCCAGAGAAGGTTCTCGATAAATCCTTTTGAATGACTGGACAAATGAACAAGTGAATTAAAAGTGTTTAAGCAGACCCATTCTTCATTCTGGGCCAATATTACCAACAATCTTGCATGTCTTACAAGTACATGATGTGGCTTAGGTCATTACATGAGTAGAAAATGGATCTGTGTTTTCTACATAGCCTATTGTTATGTTAAGATCCTAGAAGTGTATGCCTCCACCAACTGCTATGCTACTGGAGACATGTTTCACATCATTCATTTAACTAGTATTCACTGAATACTCACTATGTACTAGAGGCTACACACAGCATAGCCTTAACAATTCTTAAGCTTTTATAAGTAAGCTTGATAATAATTATGGATGAAATGATTCTGGAGTCAGATTTATATGGATCTATCAATTCTGCCACTTGCACAAGCTATATATCTTTGAGAAAGCTATGTAATTATTACTGTTCTTTTTTTTTTTTTTTTAGATTTTATTTAAAATCTAAAGTGGCAGAGACCCAGGCAGAGGGAGAAGCGGGCTCCACCCAGGGAGCCTGATGTGGGACTCAATCCAGGACCCCAGGATCATGCCCTGAGCGGAAGGCAGATGCTCAACCGCTGAGCCACCCAGGTGCCCCATAGTTCTTTAAAATCAGTACAAAAATGGAGCAGGGGTTGTTGTGAGGAATACATGAATACGTGTACTACAGAAAAGTGCTACCTATGTGAGTATTTGTGGTTATTTACAAGGATACAATGGGTAATACAAAGACATAAACAGATACATATATAAACGTAATATTTCCTAAAAGCTTTTTATTTTTAACATTTTTAGCAGACATAATGAGAAGAAAATGACTGGTATTAGCTTCATTTCCCTTTCCTACACCTGCACACATTCCTCACACCAACATAATGACAGAAAGGTAAAAATGAAAAATGCTTACTCTGAAATTAACCTAGTTATTTTCCTACAAAAAAGGATGAGTTTTGCTGACAAATGGTTTATATTGATTGTTTAGTTCTATGTATGGTTAGAGTGTGGACATGACACTTTTTTTTTTTAAATAAAACTAACCAGCCTCCTAGGAACTTTGAAATTAGTAACTCTGGCCTCAGTACCACCACGTTCTAACTAGTTTAGCTACATGATATAACTAAACAGGCTGGCAGTATGAGAAAAAGAGATAAAAGCAAGAAACTTGGTCAGCTTTTTACTTATTTTTTGGTGATTAATATGAATAATGGAATCATATAAACCCCAAATCATGTATATTAGTTTCTCTCAAACCAAAGTTTATGTATCTCCAGAGATAAATGGTGACAAGGTATGGAAAGTCTTTGTTTACAAAAAAGTAATTAAGAATAGGACTTTATATCCCTGGGTGGTGCAGCAGTTTGGCGCCTGCCTTTGGCCCAGGGCGTGATCGTGGAGACCTGGGATCAAATCCCACGTCAGGCTCCCTGCATGGAGCCTGTTTCTCCCTCTGCCTGTGTTTCTGCCTCTCTCTCTCTCTCTCTCTATCATAAATAAATAAAAATTAAAAAAAAGAATAGGACTTTATATTAAAACAAACAGTGTATGGAGTAGAATGCAGAAATGACACAAATTTTTAGGCCAAAATAAGGACTTCAAAGAAAATGCAGCTTTCTGATCATGCCTTCTTGTTCTTTCTCTAGTTCTAGAGGGTTTGTTAAAAAAAATTTTTTTTTTGAGAAGCAATGATATAAACTACAATTAGTAAGACAAAACAAGGTGGGGCAGCAGAAGAGATGGAAACAAAAGAGAAAATATAGGGGATTCCTGGGTGGCTCAGCGGTTTAGCACCTGCCTTTGGCCCAGGGCACAATCCTGGAGTCCCGGGATCGAGTCCCATGTCGGGCTCCCGGCATGGAGCCTGCTTCTCCCTCCTCCTATGTCTCTGCCTCTCTCTCTTTATGTCTATCATAAATAAATAAATAAATAAATAAATAAATAAAATAAATAAATCTATCTATCTTAAAAAAAAGAGAGAGAGAAATATAAATGTACTTGGTAGCTCATCAAAAACTTGTCTTTTTAAAAAAGAACTATCCCAGAGTTCTTGAAAGAAAAAACTACTGAAACATCCTGTTGGGCAGCCCGGTGGCTCAGCGGTTTAGTGCCACCTGCAGCCCAGGGCCTGATCCTGAAGACCCAGGATCAAGTCCCATGTTGGGCTCCCTAAATGAAATATCCTGTGTTATTTTTTAAAATAAGTTTGTTTCAAAGTGTTTAGAATAGGATCTAGAACATAGTACACACTATGTAATTATTAAATAGTTTTAACTATTAAAACTATTATTAAATAGTTTAAAAACAAGTAAAAAACACTCTTCAATTCTTTTTGCTAATAGCTTGTTTGAAGCTTTTATATCTATCTTTAACTGTCATCTATAGCTTTATGGTTCCCAGATATGTATCTCTAGTTCAGACACTGCTCTGGGACGGTGACCCATAAGTTACCTACCCCTTCTCTCCTTCCAGGTATCTATCTATAAGGCACTTGAAGTCACTAAGACCAAGGTCACACTCTTGATTTTCCCTCTTAAATTCCACCTTCTTCCTAAAATACCTTCTCTTAGTTCCCTTTCTCACCATTGTCTTCTGACATATGTCTTGAATGTTTCTTATTCTTTGGAGGTCCTCAACAAAAGGGAAGTAGAGGAAAAACGAAATGAGGAATACAATAGAGGAAAATCTGGATACATCTATATAGGCGATTCTCACCTTCCCTAAGTAAAGGTATATAGCTCCACTTAAGCCTGAGTCCAACAGTGACTAAGTACTCAAATAAGTTGTTTTAACAATGGATGGAAATGAAAGCATTACAGATTTAACCTACATGAGTTCATAGTAGTGGAAAAAACACCAGCCTCTGAACTCCACTCCTTTGCTAAATTCTGCTGTTCATTATAGGTCAAAGATACAGCTGGTCAAAAGAGTAAAATGCTGGTGATGGCAGATTTTATACACCTTTACATTCCCTACTTTCACACAGTTCTGTAGTTTCTGTTATTTTGAACTTCTAAAGATCCTGTTAAGGTCCAAGTGTGCATGGACATGGGAAGAGGAAAGGCCACCCTGTGAACAAGTGTGCTCTAAGCAGAATGGACCAGAAAGCTTGTAGAACCTCAGCTTTAAGTCCTACAACCAACCTACACCCACACCCACATCCATTAGGCTAGAGAAACTGGGCATTCTGATTTTTCAGATATATGCTATGTGTTCTTCTGTAAATGAAAAAGAAGCAGAACTGGGCAATAATGTAGAGAATTAAAATAAGATTCATGTTACTTGACTTTAAACAGAGAGGTTTTGTACTTTAATTATTATTATATCTAGGTTGCTGCTGGTAAATAACAAAAAGAGGATAAAATGTTAAGGACTGAAATGAAATCACAAAAGACTTAAAAAGATAACATTTGATGTTATCTTTTGTCCTTTTTCTAACATTTTTCTAACACTACCATCAACACTTAGTACATGCAATACACGAATACTGTAGGAGGCACTGAGGACTGAATTTTTAGTATATTTATACAACATACTGGTTTATACTGTGAATCCTAGATTTTCAAAGCAGTCATTTTGAAAATAACCCTTTCTTTTTCTTTTTCTTTTTTTAATCCTGAAAAACAAGAGAAGCAACAGCAAATTCTTGTGGGTTTACAAAAAAACTGCTATCAAGTAAATTATTATTCTCTCCTACAAATACATTTTGATCCACAAAGTGACATTTAGCAAAGACACTTGTAAAGGCATCAGACTGATAAGATATTGCTCCTTACTTATCAAGAAAGACCTGGGAAGGCAGGGGCTCTCACCTTGTTTGGAGTTGACATCTGATGGGAGGTGTGAAGGGTGTGATCCTGGAGAAAAGTGCTCGTCGCTGTACGTGATGAGGGGGGTGAGAGGATGAACCGCATGTGATGGCTGCACCACGGGCACCTTATTTGACTGCAAAGTAACCACAAGATCAATGGTTAATAGGAATACCCAGCTCCTGTCTCCTCTCCAAAGAAAAAGTCACATAACAGCAGTAACTGGGCATCAGCATAACCCATGAAACATCTCTAGACCTGGATAACTCAACTCATCTGCTGTACTCATTACATCTTCAGAATTTTTCCATGTTAAATACTATTCAAGTATATGAATATCCCATCAAGAGACTATCAGTTATTTAATCAGCACCTTTTGGAGATTTAGGTTGATTACTATTATTTCATATGACATAAATTTCTGTATGTATATATTTATACTTCCTTTTGAGGATTATCTCCTCAGGTTCAATTCAACCAGTAGCTACTGGAGCAAAAGTTACAAATATTTTATAAGCTCTTTTTATTCATTACATATCTCTGGCAATAAAAAAGCACTGAACTGCTCAATGAACAAGTGAATAAATAAATATTACCAATCTGAAGGTCAACTTTTTAAACAACCCAATAAATAAAAATTTGCTTAGTTTATAGAATTTGTAATTCTCTAATTGTACATCTTTAAAAACCATGTTACAGCACTGTTTTTCATGTCTTATAGCTTTGTCAATCAAACATGACCATCTGTTATGCTTTAGCACTAATCAGTTCATCTTTAGGTTCTCTAGTTTTCAGAAGTCTTAACTGATAAAAGGGAACTTCTAACCTTGAGTTTAACTGCATAACATGAAATATGGCTTTAAATTACTAACACTTTATATTTGACACTTTATATGTCTTATATTAATTTAAAAACAAATTTTATTATTGAATTTGGAAGTCTAAAATTATATAACAATAATAAGTTTTTAAAGGCTCAGGTTATTTTTTGGAATTTATCAATTTGGAAGCTGGACTCTATTTATTTGGTTAAAGGTGATTTTTTTTTCTCCCCTCTACCTCCCCAAAGTGCTTACTAAACAAATCAAGTAATACAAGCAAGACCCAGGCAGTTTAACCTGATTAGGGAGACTGGTTTTTATAAACTCTACATTCCCTCACCTCAAAAAGAAAGTAAATTCAACACAATTATATACATGAAAAATACATATTTGATTTTAACGTCATCTACTAATTACAGCAGTCCCAGGAAGATCTCTATTTACAAATGCTACAGTAATAAGTAACTTGTGAATTTAAGAGGAATAAAATACAATGAATTTTGAATATTCAGTAATTAACTAGTTCAGACATGTCTTCACCATAATTAGTTTGAATTAGTGAGATTTTTAATGCGCTATAAACTAAAATGTATGTGAAATCTGTTTCTCCAGAAGTAAATATATGTATTAAAAAAAAACTGAGCAGCTACCTGACAATTGCACCGTATAAACTGCTTAAAATGTAGGTCCATATCTCAGTAGTTGAAGCCCCTGTAACACACGTGTTGTGTGTGGTGATGGCACCTATGACTTACATGCTCATTTAAATTTTTTTTCCTTACAAATTAGATATAAAAAATATGTTGCTCCAATGCTCAGAAAAATTAGGAACAATTATCCTAGTAACACTTAATTCTCTTTATAGCTAGTAATACTAATTCTCTATACCCTAGCATTACAACCTCTACCCAAAAAAGTTTATTTGAAAAAAGGCGAAAAAAAAATCAACCCATTTTAGACAATGATATAATTTCCATACTAGATTTTCCGTTTTATAAAATGATCAGCTCCTCTCTAATGCTAGAACTTGCACAGCTCATATAGCCCTGGGCATTTATTAAATAGAGTACCATTATCAAAGCCCCCCACCTTCTCTCTGTATACCTCAGTACAGACATCTATGCATATAAATGTGTAAAAGGTTAAAAAAATGTTTCAATGCTTTTCAAGTGTTAATGATGCAGTTGCCAAATACACAGAATGAGCTTCTTAAATACAAGGAATTTAGAATGCTAGAGGAGGTGTGGGGGGGTGCAGGGATAGGAGGATATTATTACAAACCCTCTTTAAAATGGAAACAAAAATCTCAACACCCAAATGCTAAAATGAATATATTTCAACTCTTCTAAACTGCTTTGAGTTTCATTTCAAAAGTCTCATAAGAAGCATAATTGCCAAGCAATCTACAAAGGTATTTTCTTAGAGTGCTTACAAAGAGTAAGCATTGCAGAAATCTCCTGGAAATATATATATTTTGCATGTCTTTCTTATTTCCAGAGCACCACCTTAAGGAACCTGCATTAGCAGGCAGCATCTTCTTAATGTCTGACCTATCCCTCCAGTCATATAGCTCAGAATCTGGTGCCATGAATTTTTGCTAAATTATGCTATCCTTGCTCTCCTCTTAATTTTACGGTTTTCAACACAGATTTGCTTTCCTGTGGGAAGGAGATAAGAAGCTGAGGATTTTAATTTAAGCTCTGGCCTTGTCTTATATTTTGCAAGATGGATAGTGAAAGCAGTACTAGTAGGTGTGTTAAAGCCAACAAGGATTATGTCCATTTTTGTGGCCAAATAATAAAAGCAATATGAATTCTCAATAATGTGTGTGAGCACAATTCTGAGGTTTCTATTTTGCCTCCTGCAGACCACCTTCACTATGTATATAAATATCCAACCCTATGCTACATGCACATCGCCATCACGGTCAAGTAACCTCAGCCCTAAATTGTGGGCTTCCTCTGATATCAGGAGTTATTGTCCTTTGATACTATATGCACACACAAGGCAAGAACCCAGACAATGCTACTTCGTGTAATTTTTAAGACAGAAAATATAACCATTCTTAATTCTAGTCCTTTAATCTCCAAATAACAGTGTGGTATTTGTTGTGGTGGAGAGTAGGAGAGGGGAGGAACAACCAATTGATTACCTAGTCAAATTTGTCTACCATGAGTAAATTTATGTAGTTATATTATAATGCATGATTATACCTGTATATGAGGGCATATGTATATATTTATTAAGACCAATAATGTGCCAAGCATTCTTCTAGCACTGAAGGCCGGAGCAGACAAGGTCCCTAATCGCATGCAGCTTTCTTTCTAAGAGTTTATAAGACAAAGAATAAATATGCAGAAAAACCAAACCAAACCAAAACAAAAAGATGGTATATCAAGTACTATGAAAAAAAGGAACTGGGTGACAGGAGAAACAGTGTATATGTAATTATATGCCTTCATATTCCACTAAAGCTGTAAGAAACCACAAGTGCATTTAGTTTAAGATTCTAATTTTCTAAGATAGGAAGCTGAGCAACGGAGGTCACCAGGAAACGAATAATCAAACCATGACCATGGTCAGCACTTCTAATAACACAACCTTGCTCACTACACAACTCCAATGATAATAGGGTCACTGGGAATAAAATGGGAATGGAAATCCCTGGAGTCACTCAGTATAGTGCAATCAAGTAGTAGAGAAATATATTTTTGGCTTCTACTCTGTGTTGACTGACTACTGTCTACCTAGTACCTCACTTACAGAACCCAAGTCTCTTGACTCCCACTCTTGTGCTTCTTCCAACTACACATCTCTCTGTAAGGGAGAGAGGAAGGTGAAAATCATATTGATTCTTTTTTTCATTCATACATACAGTCAAGAACATTCACAGGTGCAGTCACTGGTACACAGGTGCATTCATAGGTAAAGTCTTAGCTTCCAGTGGAAAATCACCAGGTAGCCCCAATGTGTGTCGTTTGTTTCATTATCCCAGGATAATAGCACCCATGATTATTCCACCCCTATGAGATACCTGGCAGCTTTAAGACATCCCAAATCCTCTGCTGCTGCTCAGATAGGTTCAGAAACTTATCTAAGTTCACATGGCAATAAGTGGCCAAGCCAGGCCACAGACCCTGATCCTCCAAGTACATATTCTTTCATCTCACACAGGCAAGCAAAGGAAAAGTATGAAAGATGGAGAGAGCAGGTACTCAAAAAGGGATAGAAAAATATGAGGGGTAAGATTCTAGAAGACGACCCTCTCACCTACACTCAGCACCCACACATGCCTATTCAGTAGGAAGCCTGCGATCTTTTCCCAAGCTTGAAAAATCATCAGGCCACCCTACCCACATAGCCCATAAAAATTATAGCAACTAACACTTACCAAGCGCTTAGTGTGTGCTAAGCATTTTATAGTATCTTTGAGGCAGGTGAGGACACTTTTACAGATGAGGAAATTGAGGCATGGAGAGGTCAGGTAACTTTTCCAAAGGCACAAAGCTAGTAAGTGGCAAAACTAAGGTTCAAATGCAGAAACTCTGTCTCTGGAGACCACAATTGTTACCAGCATACCACGCAGGCTCCCTGAAGAGCCAAGTTCATAACAACTTAGACAGTGAGTTTACCATCTGGGCCTGACAGTAGGTGACATCGATGAAATGACTGTGTGGTCTCTGTCCCAGGCACAGGAATCACATCAGACAAAGAGGCACCTCAGTAGAAGGGGTTAGAGCTGCAAAGACTCAACTGGCGGCTTTCTCTCCAGGACTGGGAAACATTCCAAGGAAGCTAGCTTGGCTGCCGTCCAGGCTGGTCCCTGCAGGTAAGGACCTCTTTGGTATCACAGCCAATAAAACCCACACCTCCTGTGGACACGAAGTGGGTGCCACTTAGGGATCCTGAGAGCCACCCCCAAAGCAATGTTCCCAGAAATGACCCACTCACTGCTGGCAGTAACTCAAGCTGTCATGAATGTTGTCAGCCTCCAAGGATGTGGTTCTGGGAAGGACTAAAAAATGGTTCAGTGCCCTCCTAGCTAAGGCCATGGGCCTACTGGTAAGTGCAGTAATTGGGGGAGAAACCTGCTGGTCTAGGAGCTAGTCCCCACCCGGCACATCTTGAGATTTCAACTAAACCCACAATGCAGGATCTAGCTGTGCATAAAGGCCTTGAGTTCCATTTCAACTGGCTGTGCATTTTATCAATAATCCTCCTGGTAATAACCAAATTCAGGGAATATTAACACTCCACCAACTTACCGAGATGAAGAATTTCATCTGGCCTCAATTTTTTATGGTGCCATTTTACT